GAATATCTTCAATTAATTACAAACTAACTCTGTAGAGAATGCTCTCGTAACGGACTGGACATAAATGTATTAAAAACAAAGGTATTGTGGTAAGTAAACAAGGCGTTGGTCCTATGTTAATTATGAGCTGATTTTAAAAGTGATAAATTTTTTTTTAAAGACTTAGGATGCTGATTAAACGCTACACTAAATGAAGAAATTACAAGTCGTATACAGAGAATAACAAGAATGAAAGGAATTGATAGAAAAAAATACTCATGATTCCGAAACATTCGCCTATTAGCAGCTAAATTGATCTGTACAATTACAAGAGTTATATCGGCCAATTGCCATTAAGGCTATTTACTCCTAAACTGGACACGGTACTGAACGAAGAAGTGAAAAAAAATTGTGGCTAATAAATAATTAAATAAAGACCTAAAACGATTAATCTTCTAGTGGTGAAGTTAACGATCTTCTTTCAAAAAGAAACTTTATCTTCACATAAGTAATGGTTTTCACCACAAAACCACCTACTCATAAATACCAATTTCCATAGCTTAAGACGATCACGCGGAAAATCAAATCAGTGTCAATTTTCCACGGTCCCGCTTCGCAGGAATTCTAGATTTCAGTTTTTCGAGTTCCTTAAACCCATCTTTCAAGGTAAAATGATGACCGCGTCCTTCCCAACCTTCGGCCGATCATCGTCCATCTTCTACATCGATAAAGCACGATGAAATGAGGTGCTCTTTTATCTTTAATCTTTCGCCGTTTTGTTTATTGGCGTTTGTTTTGCTGTTGGAGCCGGCTTGTCTATTATAAACTTGAAATATCGGCGGCCGGCGAATCTTCCACCAATGGTAGATATTTTGGTTGTAATATCGACAGTGTGGTTTCAGGACAACTATTAATTACTCAACTTAGTCAACTAAATGTTATCATCATTTTCAATTGGAAGAAATACAGTAATAAACATTTCTGACTAAAAAATTCAATTCTTTCAAATTCCATACGCCTTTTCAGATTTTTGTTAATGACTAATAAAGAACAAACCAAAAAAATACAGGATTTGAACAAATAGCAACAGAAAATAAAAAATAAAATGAGTCATGCGCGTGATCACTTACGTTTATCGTATCGTTTAGCTGTCGCCATGACTTTAATCACCCAATTGAAATAAAACAAGTATGGACTAAATATATTAAAGATCTTTTCATGGACACAAGAACGGAACCAATACAAATTGATAAAGAGGAAGCTCCAATAATATTATAATCTGAAGTCCAACTTGCTATAAACAACTCAAAATCTGGCAGAGCCCCTGGGCCAGATAAAGTTCATATCGAGCTGATTAAACTTATAGACGGAGACAATTTAAGTGCAATAACTATACTCTTTAACAACATAAACAAATCTGGTACGATACCTACAGAATGGCTGCTATCGATCTTTGTTCCGCTACCAAAAACCAAGAACCCCAAACACTGTAATGTCTATAGATTAATCAGATTAATGTCACACTTATTAAAAACATTTTTAAAGATTATACATGTAATAATATTCAGAAAGTGCGAGGCGAATATGAGTAATAGACAGTTTGGCTTTCGTAACAGCTTCGGAACTGTGGAAGCTCTGTATATTTTCACAATTCTTGCACAAAAATGTCGAGACCAACAAAAAGATCTTTTCGTTGCGTTTATAGACTATGAGAAAGCTTTCGACAAAGTTAAACATAACATTCTAATAGATTGTCTAAAGAGAAAAGGGCTCAACAAAAATGACATTAACATAGTGAGAAACCTCTATTGGAACCAACAGGCTGTGGTAACATTAGATGGAAATAGCACGGATGTGCAACAGATAAGTAAAGGATTGAGACAGGGTTGTATACTTTCACCATTACTATTTAATATATATATATTCCAAAAAGTTTTTTAGGGAAGCACTTGAAAACTGTACAGAAGGGATCAAGATAAATGGTGAAAATATAAATAACATTCGTTATGCTGACGATACAGTCATTATCGCTGAAAGTGAGACAGACCTGCAGTAGTTACTAAACACAATTTGTGATTCTGGGGAATAGCTTGGTTTAACAATAAACAGAAAGAAAACAAAAACCATGGTTATCAGTAAGAGGGGCAAAGTCATTACAAGGATCCAGATTAAAAATGAAGATATTGAGCAAGTGGACAAAACAAAATACTTAGGAGTCTGTATTACAGAAGATCTGTATCCGAAATCAGAAATTTGCTCAAGAATAGAACAATCGAGAGCAGACTTTTTGAAGAAATTTCTGAGTAACCAAAGACTCAATCTGCAAATCCGATATCGGATGGTAAAATGTGATATCCACTCTATTCTTCTTTATGGTGTCGAAGTCTGGACTGTTAATGTTGACTAAATGAGAAAACTGGAAGCTTTTAAGATGTGGCTTTTTAGGAGAATTTTGAAGATACCATGAACCGATCATATTACGAACGAAATGGTGTTGCATAGAATGGGAAGAGACAGAGAACTTTTAACCAACATTAAAAGGCGAAAGACAGCATATTTGGGGCATATACTTAGAAATGATAAGTAGGAGTTGTTGCAGTTGATTATGAAGGGTAAAATCGAAGGAAAAAGGAGTCCTGGTAGACGACAAATATCCTGGCTGAAAAACATTCGCGACTGGACCGGGTTAAACTCACAGACGCTTTTAAGAAAAGCAGGATATAGAGACGAATTTGCAATGATTATAGCCAACCTTCATTAGTAGAGACGGCACTAGTATGACTTTTACTAAGAATCGTGTCAGTAGCGGAGAAAGGATGCGTATATGGTCAAGATATATTTAGTTTTCTCAGAGTTATAAGTACATGGTATGTTAAAAGTATACAGGTGCTTTTGTGCTTAACGCTATATTGCTTTTGTTAACTATTGTTGCATTTAATAAAAATGAAAGAAGCTAGTACTAGCAGGAAGAGTATAAATGTGAAAAGGTCAAGCAAACAGTTGGGACTTAACGCTACAAAAATAGTGTCTCTTTTTTCTGTCTGCTTGGTTTAATGCTATATCAGAGTTCGCCTCTCTCAAGCTTTTCTTTAAAATGTTCTGTCCATCTTCTTATTTTTTCTTGCTGTTTTTCTAAATATTAACTCCTTATCTCTTTACATCTTGTGTTTAAATTCTTCTCTACTTTTGTTCACTTTCTGGTAAAATTTTCTCTGCTCTGTTCTTCTTGAAGTTCTTTGTTCATATTTTGTCTCTTCTTTCTGCGGTGGATTTTCTTTTCTTCTTTACTTAGTTATTTATATTCCTCCTTTATCGTGCTCTAGGCACCTGTTGCGCCAGAAAATATGATCTGTTTTTTCTGTCTGTTATAATCTGACAATCTTCGTCAAATCGGTCATTCCTTGTTCTTCTTAGTTAACCTTACATGCGTAGTAATTATTAAATTGCTTCTTTCATGATATTTCTGCACCTTTCCCACTCTTAACTTATGTTTTCATGTTTTAGTCTGTTTTCTAGTTTGATATTTTTATCTTGTTTATATTCTCTGTTTTTGTTCATATCTTCTACGTCTACGTCTACGTCTAAGTCCTTCTACATTGTATCGTTCATGTTTAGAACCTTTATACTTTTTTTATGTTTAAAATTCTGGCCCTTTGCCCTACTTTCGACTCAGTAGTTATCAAAATCCGATTTGCTTCTCTCTTGGTGCAGACGTTTATTACATTCGATTGGTGTCTTGAGTCTACAATAACATGATCCATCTTATTTACTGTAATCTCTAGCGATTTCCAGCTGCTTTTTTGAGTATCTTTTCGAGCGAAGTTAAAATATACAATCGATTCCAAAAAAACTACTATAAAAAAGAAGACGTTTTTAAAATCAGAGCATCAAAAGTATTAATATTCGTTATTCCGCAAGCTAATTTTTTTTCATTTTGTTGGGCTGTGTTATCATTACAGTTCCATATCATGCAAGTTAAACATTTACTGTGTATTCCAGTTTGGCGAAATTTTCAGTTTTTAAGTGACTTTTGTAAAATGAAAGTATTTGCTTTGTTGCAGCAATCGTTGATTTAGCTGCTGATTCATTTTTTGATTAATCTTTTTTCATATTTATGTGTAAACACATTTCGACATCATGCCAGGACATTGATTAATTCCGCTATTAAATAGACACTCAAGAGAATTAATTTTGACACTTAAGAGAATTAAATTTTTCTTAGCAATAAACTTCGAATCTTGATAATTGTGTTTCATTCTGTTTACTACCGAATGCGCCGAATCAACTGCTGCAAGAATTGTATGTGTAACAATATGTTTCATGAAATTCATGACTCGATGTATAACTTCTTCCAAATAACACGTTTTGGCATATTTTTAGAAGGCATTATGTACATACAGACAAAAAAGCATCTGCTTTTTCTATTGATAGACTAAATAATTGAATATCCTTGTGAAATAAAAAAATATTCAAATTTAAGTATTGTAACTCTTTAGGTATATAGTCGTTTCCCGCTCATCTGCTTAGTGGACGCATTATTAATGTGAATAAAAACTTATTTTATAAACTAGATCTAATGTATTATATTTATTATTATAGGTAGACAACTAATATTCTATTGTTACAATGTAAAGTGACTAGCAAAGAAACATATTTTCTTACGCGCTGCCAATGATTAAATTCAAATTTTCCGAGAATGTACATTCACGATTGAGACATGATTTCGACTACTTTTGACCAGCTACAATGCGTGATTTTGGAAGACTAACTTCATGTTTTGCTTGCTAGACTATAGTACAAATATTGGGTGAGCTACACACTACCATTTACTTATAAATGGCCAAAGCAAGTTCTAAATGGTATAAGAAAAAGAGAAAACAGAGTAATAGAAATAAAAACTGTAGAAACCGTAACTCAACTGAAGAATAGCTTACGAATTGATTTGCATTAGACGTATATGTTTATTTTTATTATTTTTTAATTGATTTTTATATACATTTTGTCCTGCTTTCTTTTTTCAGAAAACAAAACCATAATTGAAGACGATTTCTATCAAGAAACAGAATATATCGCAAAAGATCATCGCATTAGAAGACGATCTCTAACTTCCTATGAACCAGACTCAATTGAAATCGAAGGAACATGTGACATGGTAAGCTATCTATTTACGCTTTATTAAATCAGTAAAAATCAGCAAATCTACATGTTTCAATTATTGGTTTTACAAATTCTGTAAATACCCTTAAAGAATACCAATTTTTCTTTAAACGGAATCACAAGCTATACAAATTAAAGAAAAAAATGACTTTGAAACTCTAGGTTATAGGTTAGATTCTAACACACTATTCCCAGACATCACAATCACAGTACAAACGGCCGAGAACCGGTGAACTGCAGAAAATTTTTAGATGCAGTTAACAAGATATCACAAGAAATGAGATAAGACTTCCCCCTACAAAGAGCTTTTGACTACCTATGCTATTTTCTATTAATGTTTCATATATCGCACAGCTCTTTAGCTTATTTTGCCCATTTCTTTCAGCCGAACCGCCCTTGCGATTTATTAGTTGCTGGTGTTGGCGAATGCTCTTTTTTTATTGAGAAATTCACAAAGTATCACTTCTATTGCAGAATGTACTTTTCGAATCCTGCTCTATACTCATATGTTCCTGATGTATCGGACTTGTAATTCCATCCCTAATTTGTCTATCGAACAGTTTTTCTAGAGGCTTCAATACAAGTCCGACGTCAATCTATGATGTTGCTTAAAAAACTTTTCAAAATGTGAATGCCGAAAAAAGCTCCTCCTCCTTTTAAATGTTTTCCGCCCTTTTCTAAAAAGTGAACTTTGAAAAAATATTGCAGTATGTACGGTCTATGATTGGGTAGCAATAAAGCAATCTACGTGGCGCGTGAAAATCTTAATTAGAGAGGAATTCAGACTCCAAAAAGAAAAGATCCTGGCTGTTTTTTCAAGCCACTTGCCAATTTAAGAGTTGTTTGGGTATTCATCCCCAAAAAATTCTTTATTCATATGTGTTCGATGTAATATATAAATATAACCATTAGGATTTGGAAGGAACCTTATCAACATTTCGACTATAAATATAATTAGAAATAGTGAAATGTCGATAGCAATTAAATTGCTATCGATAGCAATTTATTGTCGATTTAATTTAATCGACAATTTAATGTCGAGAATTTAATGTCGACAATGTAATGTCGAGCAATTTAAAATGTCGATAGCGATTTAATTGCTATCGACATTTAACTTCATCTTCCGTCACCAGAGGTCGCTTGTAGCATACTCTGGTAATTAATTTTTCTATAATTGCCATACCATTCGGTGTGTTTTGATTTGGTTTGAGTCTTCTTACAAGTCTCTCTGATGACAGGTAAACCCAAAAACACGTGTTAGAGAATGGTAAGAGACTTAAATTTAATCCAAACGCAACCATCTACGTATATTCATAATTAGATATATTTATATGTTAATATATTTGTATTTAAAATATTTATATTTCCTTGCATTCCAGCTTAAAGAAACGATTTGGAGAAGTCCAGCCGATGTTTTAAAAGACGCAGCACGCCCGAGAAGAAACGCCGAATGGAACAGCATCTATAGAATGAGCAACGAAAGCTACGTCAAGGTTTTAGTGGTAGCAGATGGTAGCATGCTTAAATATCACACCAACAGCAATGAGTTGACCGTTTACATTCTCACGCTAATGTCACATGTAAGTTATTTGAATTTTAATGGAAAAAGTGGTTTAAGAAAAACATTTTATAGGTTTCGTTTTTGTTTAAAGAAGAGACTGTTGGTAACCCGATATCTATATCTGTGGTTGATATAGATATACTCAATACAAATGATTTTTCAAATTCGAATTCTTCAGGTAAGTGAGATATGTACTTTGTAATTTTTTTTAACTTGCATTATAAAAATTTATTTTATTTTATTTATTTAATGAATAGACCCAACTTAGTGTTAGGGTAGCGTTAATTTAAGTATATTTTATAATTTATCACAACACTATATTTATCCCTCGCACGGCTCTACGGCCCAATTCGACCATTAGCCTAGCTCAACAATCCTCTCCATTCGTTACGGTATGTAGCTATTCTCCTCCACGATCGACTGCCAAGTAGATTTCCGGTATCCTCATACACATCATCATCTCCATTCGTAACGGTCTGTAGCCATTCTCCTCCACGATCAACTCCCAAGTAGATTTCTGGTATCCTCATTCACATCATCGTCTCATTGCTTCCTCGGTGTTCCAATATGTCTCTTCCCCTGCTTTCTTGCATTTAAGAGTTTTTTGGGAAGTCTTATTTCTTCCATCCAAAATACATGGCCTGTCCATTGTAGATGCTATAGGCGGACAAACTAAGATAAAGGTGATTCTTTATATATATTATACATTTCATAATTGTATCTGATTCGCACCTGTTGTTCTTATTTAGAGGGCCTAGTAATGGTCTCAGTAACTTTCTTTCAAAGATGTCTATGAGGTTTACAGATTTGTGAGTTAACACCAAAGTTTCACATCCATAGCTCAATGTCGGTCTTGTAGATTCGTATCTTAGTTCTTTGATGCATGTCTCGTAATTAAAATATAGTGTTCAAAGCAAAGTATGCCATATTTTCCTTTGTGATATTGACTGCTAAATAGATAAAGCTATCTACTTTTTTCAACAGTCTAACACCCGTGGACAAATATCTATGATAGATAATGTTATATGTACAACAGAGATGTACATTCATCGAAAATAATCGACGTAAGATGCCGTAACTCAGTAGATGTAGGTAGCGACCATAGCTTAGTGTTATGTAAAATAAGAATGATCCTTAAATACTTTACACCCAGAAGAGGAGCTCCAACACAAACAAAAATCAATGTCGAAGTCTAAATATGGAATCCACGGAATACTTATACAGGAAAAGAATATCAGAAAAAATCGTTGGGAACGAAATATTAGGAAACGATAACATAAAAGAAAGCTGGGAAAAACTCAAAAATATCATAATTAACGCAGTAACACAATCATTCGGAGAGAGGAAAGTAACGAACACTAACGTATCAAAAAAAGTAAAGAATAAATAGATCTATTAAAAATAGTTCTATTTATTCTATTTAATTGTCTGATTGCATTTTCCAAGGCAATACTAAAGAGGAGACACACCAGCGCATTCCCCTGTCTTAGACTATTATTAATGTCAAAGAACGTAGTGTTTTCTCCTTTAATTCTTACATATGAGCATACGTTTTGCATTGTTAGTTGGGTCAACTTAACTAACTGAGGTGGGATCCCAAAGTCTATCATTGCATTACATAATGCAGTTCTTTTCACACTGTCATAGACTGCTTTGAAGTCGACGAAGAGATGGTGTGTATCTATGAAATATTCTAGTGACTTTTCTAGAATCTGAATATGTGCTTTTCCAGAGTAAAACTGCATTGATATTGGCCAACAATATCCTTTGTAAAATGTTTTAAGTCTTTCAAACAATACATTGCCGAATATTGTATAAGCAGATGCTAACAGAGCAATGCCTCTATATATTGTTCTGAAGCTATTTTCTTGTGGCATTGTAAATTAATTATTATTTATAACTGGGAATAAGCCACAATTAAAGATAAAAATACGTTTATTGACGTTTCAATTTCCAATTCGGAAATCGTTCTCAAAATACAAACAGTAAATTAAACAAATTTTGTTTTTTGTTACATAGTGAAAAAATTCTTCTAATAATTCAATTTTATCTGACTCATTTATATTGACAATTCAGACATACATTATGCATTTTAAAGTAGACGACTTTAAAATGATATTGTCAATATTGTTGAGTTGCGCTCCTGGGACGACTTTACTTATAAGATAGTTCATTCGATTACATGAAATCAACTTTAACTTGAGAATATCCGTCAGAAAAAATCATAGCATCTAATTCGTCTTTAAAAATTTCCCTCATAATTTACTATGGAATCACTAACAGGAGAATTTTACTGTCATCATGTCATGTGTTTGTCTTTTTAAAGACGAATTAGATTCTATGATTTTTTCTGACGGATATTCTCAAGTTAAAGTTGATTTCATGTAATCGAATGAACTATCTTATAAGTAAAGTCGTCCCAGGAGCGCAACTCAACAATATTGGCAATATCATTTTAAAGTCGTCTACTTTAAAATGCATAATGTATGTCTGAATTGTCAATATAAATGAGTCAGATAAAATTAAATTATTAGAAGAATTTTTTCACTATGTAACAAAAAACAAAATTTGTTTAATTTACTGTTTGTATTTTGAGAACGATTTCCGAATTGGAAATTGAAACGTCAATAAACGTATTTTTATCTTTAATTGTGGCTTATTCCCAGTTATAAATAATAATTAATGCATATATAGTTTTTACACTTCAATTTATCACCCTTTTTATGCAACGGACATATTATTTCCTTCCTCAAGAGTGGCTACTTCTGGTACCAATTCATTCTGGTATATAAGTACTATTAGTTTATGGATTGCTGCAAAAAGTTGATCACGAAACCACTTCAGAGCAGTGTTTGAAACTGTTTAACCGTAATCCGAAGGAGTTTCTACATCGTTAGGTAACTATTGACAAAATATGGATCCACTGTTACATATTAGAAACTAAGGAATAGTCGAAAAATTGGACGTTGCCCGGCGAACGTGCTCCGAAGAAGACAAAGACTATCATTTTGACCGGAAAGGTAATGGCCACTTTTGTCTGGGATTCACAAGGTATGATCTACATCGACTACATGGATAAGAGCAAAACGATCTCAGGGCTCCTTTATGCCGAATTATTGGGCCGATTTATTTCTTAAAAAAATCTTAAAGATATTTATTTCAAGACTGCTTGAATGGGGCCGAATTACCAAAAGAATGGAAATTATCTATCATGTCAACTATCGACAAAAAGGGAGCAAGGATCAGTGTGAAAATTACAGAGGCATTGCGATAAACAGCACAATAAGTAGGATATATGGGAAATTTATTAATAACAAAATAGAAAATGACTATAGAGATTACGAAGCAGAGGGGCAAGCTGGTTTTAGAGCTAGGCGATCCACCGTAGACCACTTCTACTCTATTACGCAAGTTATTAAGAAAAAAACAGCCATCAATAAAGAAGTTCACCTGGTGTACTTAGACTTACAAAAAACATGTGACAGTGTACCCCTCAGTAAACTATGGTCAACCCTACAGCAAACCAACATTAAGCATGGTCTTATCAAAACAGTCCAAAGTCTGTATAATGGAACAACTGCATAAATTAAAACTGGATCAAGGATATCTGAGGGATTTAAGGTCACGAAAGGACTAAAGCAGGGTTGCTGTATTTCGTCTACACTTTTCAAAATTTATCTGGAACAAGCACTCAGGCTGAGGAAAAGAAAATGTAATAGCATGAGAATCCCTCTTAATGACGAGACTACACTGTACACCTTATGTTTTGCTGATGACCAAATACTAATTGCATAGGATCATGACAACTTGAGTTACATGACTCGGAAGCTAATAGAAGAATATAACAAATGGGGTCTCGAAGTCAACATTAAGAAAAGCCATGTGTATTGGAGGGACAAAGCAGTCCATTATATTAGACGTTGTGGTAGAAATTGGACACTGTGATGAATAGAAGTACCTGGGTATGAAGATAACTCAAGATGGAACACTCGATGCTGCTATAAAAGACAGAAACATATAGGGTAGAAAAGCCATATCCATGATGAACGGTATTGTGTGGGACCAAACAATATCTAACGCGAACCAACAACTCATATACAACACCATTCTTAAAAGTGTAATCACATATAGCAGTGAAGTTTGGCCAATGAAACAAAGAACAGAGAAACTGTTACTAACAACAGAAATTGACTTCTGGAAAGGAGCAGCAGGCAAATCAAGAAAAGATCGGATACCAAATGAGAGAATACGAGAAATGATGGGAGTCAAGCATACAATAGTTGATGACATAAAAACAAAACAGTTAATATGGTACGGCCATGTACAGAGAATGTCAGATGACAGGATTCTGAAACAGATTTTGACGTGGACACCACAAGGGAGAAGGAAAAAAGGAAGACCGAAAAGAAGCTAGAGAGAGAGAGAGGGAATTAAAAAAGAACTAGAGGAAAGAGAAATCCCTCCAGACCTATAGTTAAATAGAGAAGAATGGCGGACATGCGTCGGAGAACGATGTAAATCGATCGTAGTAGTAGAAATCAAAATGTACAAGATTATAAAATAAGAATGTTCATATACAAGCTAAAAGATAGAAGGAGGCATAGAAAACATAATCTGGAGAAGGCAAAAGTACCAATAAATTGTTGAAGATCAAATTTAAAATACAGAGTACAAAAATAATAAGAAAAAAATAATAACAAAATTAAGGTCAAGAAAGCCATATATTTTTCAACTTGGTTCTTATTTATGGTTATACTCACGATTTTGCGCTTTGTTATTTTTCTATCGACTCATAATGATTCCTTCTTCTCTGTTGCTCACATTACGCTTTTTCACATATTTCTCTATTTTGTCATTTTCTTGTCAATACGTTATTCCATATTGTGATATTTCCAGACCAATGGGTACCACACATATAAAAACCTATAAAAGCATTCTGCAATATGGGTCTAATATTAGTTGTTTTTGTTTTTTTTTTAATGTTCAACATCATACATCACTTAAGTTTAAAAAAACCTTCTGCATGCGTGCCTTGTCTTGCGTCAGAAACCTCAACTGATCATCACTGTACTGAGAACCAAGCTCTGGTTATGTGGCACATACAAATACAACGTACAAATGTTTGTATAACTTGATATTCGTTTTTCTACTTTAATATAAATCTTTTTCAGGCATGTTACTTAAATTTTGTGACTGGACTAAACGCCACGCTAAAGATAGAATACATAACGTTGCAGTATTGTTAACCAGGTAAGTTTAACATATTTAAATGAAATAAAACCTAAATACTTAATTTGTTTTTTCGATTCTTACTAAGTCGTGACTGCTTTTCAACCAATATACATATTTTGGGCACTACCGTTTGGCACTACCTTTTTTGAGAAAGCTTTTGCTTCCTTTTTTTACTACTACCTCTTTGCAGCTCAAGATAAGGAAAGATGGAGAGAACTGGGGGAGACCTATATCCAACAATGAAAGAATAGAGAATAGGTTCAAAAAAACCTCTTTGCAGCTAGTGATTGCTAATCTCCGTTGCCACGCGTTGATAAAATTTTTTTGATTTTAATTATTAACTATTAAACCCTACATAACTGTTAGATAGAAACCTCAGTATATTTGGTAATGTCTGGATATTGCTGCTAATAAAAAAACAGAGTGCCGCATTCCTAAAAAAATTTTTGTATAGCAAAACTCGGCCTACAACGTATGAATCTTGTCAGATGTTACAGAGAATGTATATACAGCATCCGGAAGAAGAAAACAATAAGGTAGTAGCATGTGCAGTACTAGGAACAATAATTACCTATACAAGAAATACATTTAAGAAATATATAATAGTTTTCATAACTAAAATAACTTTTAATATTACAAAAGCATCTAGCACTATTATCATCGTTCCTCTTTTTTTATTTTTCAACTGATGAATTCCCCTAAAAGGTTAAGAAATCATTAACAAGGTGTTAAAAGTATCTTAGAAATTACACCTACCATAAAAAATATGTATTTTTTGTTTTTAGGGACACCATATGCAGAAACGAATCTGCTCCACAACATTGTACAACATTAGGTGTTGCAGAACTGAATTCAATGTGCCAATCAGGATGTGCCATAGTTAAAGATAAAGGATTAGCCACGTCGTACACTATAGCTCATGAAATAGGTCATATTTTAAGGTATTTCAATCTGTTTGTCTACACGTCACATTATAGCGACGTCACGCTGTCCATTTTTGAGGTTATGTTGAATCTAAATAAATTGTTTTTGCCATTTACACCAGACTTAATTTAAAACTGTTTTGTAGAAATATTTGGGACATACTATTTCCTATAAACCATTTGGAAGTATTATTCTAGTAACAGTAGAACAATTTTTTAAACAAACGTTAAGTATTTTCTATACGTAAAAACAAAAAGTATTTTACAAAAAGTATATACCAAATCTCATTGAGCTTCATTATTCACAAACGGTAAAACTAATATGAAACTTACTTTGGACTACTGTTGAAACAGTAAATCGGTTTTATAGAAACAGTACAATCTTAAAAATTGCTGGTGTGACGTCATATTACTGGGGCGCTTATTTTAATTATGTTTGCTAAATTAATGTTTTTTAGTATGCCTCATGACGAAGATAAAAAGTGCGAAAGGTTCAACAAGTACATCAGTATTACAAATATTATGAGCAAAAGTTTTAAAAAAGACACCAAACCATTTACATGGTCGCCGTGTTCGAGATATTTCATTACGGAGTTTTTAGAGTAAGTACTTACGCTTCTTTTAGTGTATAATTGATAGATAAGAGATTATCTATTTGTTGAATTGATTTTTTTACTTAAATTCAAGAAAATATTATTCGTCTTCTATGAAGTTCTTCCTAATAAGTAGCCATATCATACCATAAATGGATGGTCTGACTTGCTTCCATAAAAAAACAATTTGCCATTGCTTCCTTGAGTAAGAAACAATCAGCAGCGGTTTATTGGTCTATTGTATTTGATTTTGTATTCAGCCTTCGCGTCTGATGAGGCTATGAGAGGCCAAAATGACGTCATATTGCGGTGTTGTTTACCAAATCAAAGACCGAGACTGATGACAAATCGTGTTCCTACGACATATACTGTTGTTTTAAGCTCTTTTAGGTTTCACGGGTCACACTACACTAATCTTTTCGATTGTTTTCTATCTGTTGTAGGATGTTATAATTTCACATGTGGATTGTTTTCGTACATATGTTTATTTGGAATGCAGGGAGGTACGATTATCGAGGGAATTATTAAACGAAAAGGGACCAACCTTTTTAAAAAGAATTCATTTTTTCTTTTTCTTTTTTCCACTTCCTTTCTTTTTTTATGTCTTGTAAGTTTTTTTTATTAGTTTTGAATGATGGGGGAGTGATATATCTGGCTCAAGTTGTCGATGTCGGTTCTTTTATTTAGGGACGCTGGATGTTTTAGAATTTGGCACATTTCAAGGATGGATCGCTTGTGATAATTTTGTTGTTTGCAAAGTATTTTGGTATTCGTGAAATCGATCCTGTGTTTAGTTGAAATCGCATGTTGTGCAAGGGCACAAGATGGTTTAGAAATCCTAATGTCGCTTTTGTGGGACGTTAGTCGACTTTGAAGAGAGCGGCTGGTCTGGCGAATGTAGCAGGAGTTGCACTCTGCACAGGGTATATGATAGACGACATTAGTTTGTTCTAGAGGGGCCAATGGAGTTTTTGTCTTCTAAAATAACTTTCCTAAGGTGCTGGTGTTTTTAAGACTATTTTAACAGGTAAGTTTTTGAAAAGTTTGTTAAGCTTCTTAGTGATTTGTGGGAGTACGGGAGCGAAGCATATTTTGCGGTTTGTTCAAGAGTGAGAGGGGACTTATTCATCTGTATTTTAAAATTAAAATTGACGCTAATGTTAGCCCTTTGGGTGTTTCAGTAATGGACTACCAATAGCTTTTATAATATAGAAATTTATTGACGTAGGATGGCGGATAGAAGTTATCTATGAGAATGGATTTCAGTAGATTGAGAGATTCTTCTTTGTTAAGCGGGTGTGTCAACATGTATACTCTAAGGCTGAGAGCTTGTACCAGGTTAAATTTATATCTGATTGGGTGTGTCGAATGGTAATTTAAGAAACGGTTGCTAGTCATTTGTTTCTGTACCAGGTAGTGACTAATCTGTTATCCGGTGTGCAAATAATTTGCATATCTAAAAACGGGATACTGTTATCGACCTAAAATTCACATGTAAATTGTAGGTAAGGATCAAAGCAGTTAAAAACTGATAAGGGGTCCACCATCTTGTCCGGAGGGGTTTCAAAACTCAGGTCGTCGACATACCGTATTACAAAGGGAATCTGGAAATCTAACTTCTTGATACTCTCATTAATAAGATCGTCTAGTACAAAGTTAAGTAGAGTAGGAGAAATCGTGGATCCCATAGGAGTTCCAAAAATTTGACGATAATATTTGTCATTGAAAATTAAATAATTGGTGTCAGAAATCAATTTTAATAATTCGGAAAAAGTTTCCCAAGATATCGGATTGTGGGGTTGGATTTGATTCCAATGGTTACGGAGAGAAGTTAATACACTGGACAGTGGAAGATTTCTGAACAAGGATACTACGTCAAAACTTACTAAGGCAAAGCCTCTGGGTAGTTGATAATTATTAAAAAATTCACTGAACTGGAAAGAATCTGTTATGTTGAAGTCATTATTATATTTGTATGCTTGTGAAAGAATGTTCGTTAGAAATTGAGCTATATTCGTGTTCGGAGCATTTATTGACAATAATATGACATACTTAGTTGTGGTTTGTGAATTTTGGGGAGACAGTAAAGTCTTGGAGTAGCGCCATTGTAATTATGGAGGGATTTGGCTAGTTTCTCGTCAATATTTTTTTTGTTTTTAAGTTTAGTGATATATCGGTTGAGTTTTTTGGTGTAGGTTGTAGTTGGATTGCGAAGAAGTGGTTGATAGTATTTGGCTATCATCTATGAGTTGCTGGCTCAGGTTAATATATTGCTCTGTCATCATAAAGACTTATCTGGCATTACTTTTATCACTAGTTAATACCCTTAGGTCAGGGTGTTTTTTTTTAGAATAGTAGACGCTTGTTCATATATTAGATCAATATCGGTTTTGGCGTTATAAGATTTACGCGAGCATAAAGGACAACTTTCATTTGCCAATTATTGACCGATCAAACTTCTGCTATTCAATGATTGAATAATCACCATCCAGTAGAGTTGCACACAATGAATCAGATACAAAGATAAACCGTGTCCAAGGGAGTAATGACAAAACTCACCAAAATATGAATACATACACAGATCAGGATTGTAAAAACAATGGTCTTCACCATTTTTCATATGGGTCTAAACGTTGTTGCTTCAAGAAAGTTGATACACGTACTATAGACTCCCGAATATTGTTACTGAAAAAATCACCGCTTGACTTAGCCATGTGGTGCGTAGAAATCGAGAGAGCTCGAGAAAAATCACAAACAATATATGTGGACCATATTACAAAAGAAGTCGCAGCCTCACTAAACCAGTGCTTTAGAGTTGCAAAAGACAGAGAAAGATGGAAACAATATCTAGAGAAACCAATATTCATATAAAAAATATTTTTTGTTTATTATCTAAGAATATGTATTTTGTAACTAGTTACAAAAAGATATTTAAACCTCCGTACACCGACAAGGTCTCAAATAACAAAAACTACGAGAAAGTACCAATTATATAATAAACCGACTGCAAAACTATATCAAAAATGCAGTTATTACCAAATCAGTCCGAAAAAGAATCTTGAAATATGCCATTGATACGCTCGTAAAGACGGGTGACACGAAACCAAAGGAGGAACTGCTCGTGGCAGACCGTCTTTTACCAAACACCTGTTTGCACTCGCGGACAAATTCATTTCCATTGATTTCCCAAAAAGGAAGTTCCAGTAGCGACCCAGATTTTTTCGCAGTTTCTACAATTATCGATGAAACGATGTCAATTGAATTCGAAGAAAAAATTGTTTATGAGAATAACTAAGTAGACTGGGACTAGACTGATGTACACTCAAATAAAGGTAAAAGAAACCAATATTGGCGGAAACAATATATAGATAAATAAATGATTGTTATCTATGATATTAGTCTAAAAATTTTTTGTTTGTGGCGTCTCGATTTTTTTATTGGCTTTTGGAATTTCTGGATTTTCGGATCAAACAATTGAAATAAGAGCCTGGATGAAAATAGCAAGAAATACGTTTGTAAAAATGAAAACAATTATTTACAATAGAGAGCGTGTTTTCGATACTACAATATCAATATATCACAGACTGAAGCAAAAACACATAAACAAGCTACTCATCATCAATGGCGCTACAACTCTTCGTGAGTCTTTGCCGCGTTTACTATTGCCTTCCATGTTTGTCGGTCCTGTGCCAGTAATTCCCATTGTCGTACTGCCATCTTCTCTAGATCTTCTCTGGCCTTCCATCTTCCATCTGGCCTTTCCCAGAACACGTTGTTTATAAGGCGATTGTCGTTACTGCGTATCACATGTCCTGCCCATCTGAGTCTTTTGGCCTTTATATATCTGACTAGATTTTCTTTTCCGAATAGAGACTCTAGCTCGTTATTGTATCTGGCCATCCATTCGGTTGTCACGCTGTCTCTGCAAGGGCTATATATCATTCGAAGAATTTTACGTTCCCAAACCAGCAATTTATTTACTTCTCTTTTTGTTATCGTCCATATTTCGCTTCCATACGCGACTGTTGGTCGTATTATGGTCTTATATATATCCGGATCTTTGCACCTCGTGAAAAAAGTTTCGACTTCATCAGGTGTTGCATTGCAAAAAAAGATCTATTTCCTGCCATTATTCTCGTTTCAACTTCTCGCTCTAATTTGTTGTCATTTGTGATTGTTGCTCCTAGATATTTAAATTCTTTAACCACTTCGAATAAGCTACTGTCATTTGAAATTTGGTGTTACAGAAGGATGCTTAGAATAGCATGGGTAAAGAAGAAAATGAATACGGAAGTAGTTCAATAGAGAAATGGCAAAAAATAAGAAATATTAAATAATAAAAATACGAAGGTTACAATATCTGGAACAGATAAAGAAGGGATAGCGAAATGAAATACTAAGATTAATAATACAGGTAAAGATGAATAGGAAGGAGTATAGAAATAAGGCGAGTGTCATGGTGAACAAATTTAAGGGACTGGTTTAGATTCAGTTTAATAGAACTTTTCATAGCAGCGTTATATAGAGTGGAGATAGTGATGGAGATATCCAACCTCCGATTGAAAGACGGCACTTAAAGAAGGAGAAATTAATATTTTCTATGAATACGAATAAATCGAAAAACGGAGAACGCAAACTTTGCAGCTCTTCTTCGTCTTGTAGCACTACAACCCGGGGTGGGTCTTGGCTGACTACAGAACTTGCTTTCATCGTAAACGGTCGTCCATAATAGTTGAGTGAGTGGGTAGCCCTATTGTTCTTAGATCTGACCGTATATTGTCTCTCCATCGCATTCTGTACGTTCTAAGGGCCTTCTTCCTGTGGGAGCTTCCTCCCCCCATATTAACTTGGCAAGGCGGTTATTAGGGAGTTTATGGACATGATCTCAGACGTTTTGATTTAATCTCTTGGACTATGTCGCTCGCTTTATACATCTGCTTGACCTCAGCATTGGTTCTCATTCGGTATTGGTTGCTATTAATGTCGTGATAACGCCCAAAGATTCTTCTGAGGATTTTACTATCTTAACATCAACTTTTCTTTCAGTTTCTTTGGTCAGGGTCCACGTGTCACACCCATATATGAGCACCGGTCTAATCACTGTTTTAAATATTCTAATATTTTATGTTCGTGTTAGGCTTTTAGATTTAATGTGGAGGCTGTACATACATATGTTTGCTGCCGGAATTGTTCCTTTAATCTCTTCCACGATATCGTTAACTGCAGTGATTGTTGCTCCGAGATATTTAAAACTCTGCACTCTGTCAAAGTTATATGGGTATATTGTAACATTTTGCCCTATTCTACGAGTATCTCGCCTCTTTTGTCTGTTGATGCACATATATTTCTACAATTTATTAAAAGTCTCCTTCACATTGCTGACTGTGTTTCCCCCAATGTCAATGTCATCTGCGTATGCTAGTAGTAATTTTGGTCTGTTACCTATCCGTACTCTGGATAGGTAACAGTAGGCTAGTAGTAATTTTGGTTTGTTACCTATCCGTACTCTGGATCTACAGCTATTCACACATTACTTAACAAGCTGGATAAGTTTTTTTTAACTGAAAATTCTGCCAGTGCATTCCACGTCTGATCCCTTTTAATGCTGTCGTACGCTTGCCGGAAATCTATGAAGAGATTATGGATAGTTCTATTGAATTCCCATCCTTTTCCAAGCAGCTGTCGTAGCATAAAAATCTGATCTATGGTCGATCTATGTTTTCTGAAGCCGGCTTGGTATTCCCCCATGAAATTTTCTACAAACAGTGTCAGCCTACTTACTAGGATGTTCGATAAGATTTTATATGCCGTATTAAGTTGGGAGATGCCTCTATAATTAGAGCACTTGGTTTTGTCTCCCTTTTTATGGATGGGGTTTATTACACTTTCGTGCCATTTTGTTGGTATTTTCTCTTCGTTCCACATAAGTGTTATTAGTTTTTGTATTTGTCTATGTAGAGTTTCTCCTCCGTACGCCAGTATATTGTCAGAGCCTGGAGCTTTTCCGTTCTTCAATTTGTTAATTGCTTGTAATGTTTAATCTATGGGGTCCTCTACCGGTAGGTTCACCCCAAAATATATATTTTCTCCTTGTTCTTCCTCGTGATGTATATTTAGTAAAGTCTTGAAATATTCTTGTCATGTTTAGAGCAGTTCTTTTTCATTTATTATTAATTCATCATTTTTTTTTTAGTACAGACACGCATCTAGGTCTAAAGCCTTTCTTTTGTTTAACACTGATTTGTAAAATGCTTAAATTTTTGACTGTTGCCTATTCCTTTCCATTTCTTTATATTTCTGTTTTTCGTAGGTAATTGATTTTCATTAATTTCTTCTCTCTAATTAATTTTTTTGTTTCTCGGCGTGAAGTTGCATAGTTTTCTTTACTTTCTGCTATTCCTTGTTGAAGCACAATGTTTCGCTTTATCTGTCTGTCGTGTAGTTTTTCTTGACATTCTCTATCAAACCATTTCCATGTTCTCTTTCTGCTTTTTCCTATTATTAGTTCCGCTGTCTCCGATAATTTGTTTGATCATTGTATTCAACCATATGAAAATATTTTTGATACCAATTTTTTATTTCTAGTGTACTTCTTAAACAGTTTTTATAAAACCCGTTTTTTTCTCAAAGTAGATGACCTTTGCAAAAATATGTTCGGAATAATCTTTGTCGCGTAGGTAGGTCGGTGATTTTTATTGATTGATTAGTGCTATAAAATAGATAACATCCATAGATTACGCAGAATTAGGTAATCAAGACCGTAATTGTGCCCCGTTTATATCCACATCTGTCTATGTGTGATATTTATGTACGACATAAAAATGCTTCTGAGACAGAAAAAAACTTAATTATAATAATTTTCGTCGGTTGCGAGCAATAATTATTATTCGAGATAACATTATGTTCAGATGTTCAGCATTCTTTTAATTTTATAGTAGGCAGATCTAATTAGGGGTTTTTAAAAGGACGACATAATCAATAGAGACAAATATGATGGCACTTTTTTTATACTAGTTAAAATTTTGAGAAAATTGGACTTAATATCTTCTTCTTCTTCAAAGTCTGCATCTAACTTCGCTTCATCTTTTCTAGGAACGTCCTACAGTTCTTATTCCTTTTGATTTGTAATTTATTGGTGTTTTAGTTAGTATTATTTTTGTTCATTATTGGAATTAGGCCTTCTTCGCTTTTTTGTTCGTAGTGCTTTGTAGTGCTTTATCCATTGTTCTTCTTTGATTACCTTATAATTTCAATGTCTATTTTTGGTCTGTTTCTATTCATTTTATTATATTCGTAAGTTCTTGATTCGTTATATAATTAATTTGTTACACGACTTTTTTTATATACAACTGTTTATCACAAATTCTCACGGTGTCAATCGATTTTTGTTCTTCATGTTTCTAAATTGGCAGTATAATTTTCAGTTCTCTTCAGGACGAATAGCTTACTATTCAAAATCAAAATAATCTTAATCTTACGTAGTCTTACAGTAGTTTATTAAAAAAAAATACAAAACATATAGACCATTAGTTTAGGATAAGAATAGATGGAGATTTTTCTAGATTTCGGCTCATTAAACTCAAGTGTTCATAAATTCTCATTGCGACATGTAATATGAGATACTAAAAACGATAGATCCTACTACAACAGAATCGTTTGCAGATGACATAACCACTATAGTTCCTGAAAACCAAATTACACTATTATCAAAGACTAAATCAAAAAATTATTTTCAGGTTTAAAAAAAAATTTTTAATAATCATTTATGGTAGATGAATTAACAATTCTAACCACTATATGTCTTAAATATGTAACAAGCAATCTTGACAATACAATCAACATCTTCCTATTAAATGTCTTGACCTTAAACATCTTATAAAACATCGAACACTAAGCCCTTGATCGTCACTCTATGTACTGCTGCGCGGAATAGTGATCTAGTGCTAACTTCATACCATATAGGTGTAAACTTGTCAGTCACAATGCTTTTCTTCTACATTTACCACTCTTGTCCTCAATTTGTTATTCTATTCGTCGTATCAAGACGATCGTACTAAATTTGTATCAACAATAAAAAGGCATTGCTAAGTTGGAAAATAAATATTACCTACCAAAAATTAACCATTTTGTCACTCATTACTGTATTTTCATTCTAAATATCTAATTAGAGAAACGATGTTGAAAAGTGAAATAAACTATGACTTGCCAAGATCTATACTCATGAACAATGTGAAAATCGCTGCAGTACAACAATGTGCAGTAGGAAGACACAAGAATAAAAAAAGGAAATAGGAGAGTATTCCTGGAAATAAGGAAAATAACGAGCTTTAGACACCTTTTTAGAGCTATGATCCCCTATTAAGTCGTAACAGGCGTTTATAAGGGTTAGGGTGTTAAAGATACATGTAACCTTTGTCGAGCTTTCTTTAAAATATGGTATTATAAAATTTACAAATAGTTTTTATAAAATATGTCTTTTTCAGTTCTGAACGCTCTACCTGCTTGAGACGTCCACCAGTGAACAACTATTTACCAACGTATCATTATACAGACACTTTGCCAGGCGATAAATTTGATCTGGACACTCAGTGCGAACTTGAGTTTGGACCTGGAAGAAAAGTGTGCCTCTCTGGAGTAAGTTTGTATTTTTTGTACAAATTATGTCTAATTAGCAATAAAATATATTCTAGAGTATACATAATTTTAAATCAGTTGTTTTACTTTTCGATTTAGATTAACTTAAAAAGTAGTTTTGATTAATATAACACTGTTTACAGTTTACAATTTGATATATAAAACTATAGTCAAGATAGAAGTTCAGGTTAAAGTTAGTCTTAAACTGATTCGAGGTAGAAAAATCATCTGAGATATCCTTAAATAACTGTATAGGATTTTTGTTAAGGTTTCAGTACCTCGCGCGAATACATACACTCGTGATCTGATCGTAGGGTAGGAGTTTTTTCTGCTTCTTCTTCTTCAAGTGCCCTGTCCGTTGCGAACGTTTGCTATTAACATGGTAATTTCGATCTTGTTTGCGGCGCTTCTGAATAGTTCGACCGATGTGAGCCCGAACCACTTCCGCAAATTTTGGAACCAAGAAGTGTCTTCTTCTGCCTGGCCCTCGCTTACTGGCTATTTTCCCCTGGACAATCAATTTGGATTACCTCTATGTTGTTGACATGTTCGGTCCAGGATATACGAAGAATGCGTCGGTACACCCACATTTCGAAAGCTTCTAGTTTTCTCGTGAACGTCACTGTCAGCGTCCAGGCCTCCGCACCATATAGTAAGGTCGGAAAAATGTAGCATTTAACTAGACGTAGTTTTAAGGGAAGAGACAAATCGTTGCTTATGAGGAGCTTTTTCATATTGTTAAATGCTGCTCTAGCTCGTTCTATTCTCGCCTTCATTTCTGTGGCCTGTTCTTATTTTGCATTTAAGTTGGTGCCAAGGTACACATAAGATTCTACATGGTCAATTAGTATGTTACTTATCCGTAATTGTCGAGCAGGTTGTTGTTTTTTGCTTATCAGCATCCACTTTGTCTTCATGAAGTTGAGGCTCAAGCCATATTCCTCACTAACTAAATAAACTCTTTCCATTACCTGTTGTAATGAATTACTTGTTGTAATTCACCGTGTCGTCGGCATATCTTATATTGTTCGTTAACTCGCCGTTTATTTTTATGCCCTCATTTGCATTTTCCATGCATTTGATAAATATTTCCTCAGAATAAATATTGAATAGGAGTGGGGATAAGATACACTCCTAACGGATACCACTTTTGATCTGCACACTTCCAGTGAGTTCGTTGCCAATTTTTGCTCTTGCTGTTTGACCCCAGTATAGGTTTGCCACAATTCGAATGTCATTGTCGTTAATACCTGTCTTTCGCAGAATATCTATCAATTGTTCATGATTGACATTGTCAAATGCATTTCTAAAATCCACAAATCACAAATACACATCCTTATCAACGTCTCTATACCGCTGTATAAGCACCTGGAGAGCAAAAACTGCTTCTCTGGTTCCAAGAGCTTTCCGAAAACTTCTTTTATTTAAAACGGTTTATTCTTCTATGAATGATCTTAGTGAACGATTTAGTGACATGATTGATCAAGTTTATAAGCCGGTAGTCATCGCATATCTGGGTATTTGGTTTCTTCGGGATTGTAATAAATGTTGACTGCAGCCAGTTCTCCGGGATTTTACCGCTATTATATATGTTGTTAAAAAGTACAACTAGGTTATCAAGGAACTGTTTGTCTGATTTACATAGGATCTTTAATATTTCGCAACATACATTATCCGGACCTGCTGACTTATTGTTTTTTAGTGCTACAATGGCATCTTATATCTCCGATTTAAGAATTGAAGGTCCTGTTTCTCCTTCTCCATAAAGGTGATCATCAGCCTTGTCAGATGCAAATAGTTTTGCTATGTATGATTTCCATGTTTCTAAGATCGTTGATAGCTCCGACATAAGATTTTCATCGCTATCTTTTATACTTTTGGGTGACTTATTGAATATCCTCTTGTTTGTTATAGATTTTATTTTTGTGTGCATATTGTAACTGTCGTATTTCCGTTCGTATTGTTCTATTTCCATGCATTCGTTGGAAAACCATTTTTCTTTTGTGGATCTGCTGGTATTTTTCTGGTATTTTTTATTCTTGAATTTACGTCTTTCATCCATCATATTCATTATCTTATCAGACATCCATTCTTTTTTCTTCTGTCTGTCACGCTTTAATAGAGTCGCGCATGTTGTTTAAATTGCTTCCCTCGATTTATCCCATCTCTCTATTATGTCCGACGTGTTCTAGTTAATGTCGTTTTCTTCTTTCCTAGTTGTTCTCGTACTTTTATTTCGGTTTCTGGGTTAGTGAGTTTCTTAATATCAATTGTGTTTAAATTAGATCTTTTCTCGAGATGTTTTACTCTCCGTTTTTTCTGCAGCCGTTTTTTTGCAGCTTCGAGAATTGTCAGATTTTGTTTAAAATATGTCTGTAATTTCTTCCATAATTAGTTCGTAATATGTCTTGGTGTCTAAATTGTCGGAATATTATCTGATAATTGCCACATTTGGTTCTTATGTTTTCTTTTGTCTTAGTTTCCACATTTGAATTGCAGATACTTAACCCTAAAATACAGTAACATACGTCACTTTGAAGATTGTTAGTTTATCTTGAGATTTTTGCAGTACAATAGTGAGCCTTGCTGAAGTCCACCTGGAAGCCATATATGTATCGAACTAATGGCTTTTGTAAGAGTAATAATATGCTTTTAAATAACTTTAAAATTCAAACCATCCTTCTTTGAGTGCGTTCACATTATAAAGATCCGCAATAATTTTGGAGTATTTGAATCCAAATTAATGAGATCAATGATGGTCATGGTCTTTTTTCATTCGCTCAAGTCATAACATTCGTCAATATTTTAAGTTATATTATACACGTTACTTACTAGCGCTTCGTTAGTTGTTGCCCGTTTCTTATTTTTGACACCTGCGGCGCCACGTACATAAACTTCTAAATACAGACTACACTAAAAGGAACTTCATACGTTTGCTGTGATTGATGGGTAAGTCTGTCCTAATTTAAAATTTGGCGGGCTTTATGTACATTAAAATGACATTTGGGTATTAGTCGTAAGCGGACCATATTCGCATTTTCGCATTAAGCTGGATATTGCAGTTTTATTTGTAATGTTATTATTTTTCTCTTGTGATATATACCAACTATACCAACGAATAAATACCAACTTTGATGTTGCTAATGATGCTTCTGTATTATATATTTTATATTAAGTATTATTGTTTTAAATTTTTGGATAGGTAATTTTTAGTTTCCTCTTACTACTTTTATTTCTAGAACATTCATCATCATCAATATTCTCTTTGCTTCTGTTCTTATATTTTTTCTAGGGAGAAATCACCTCTCCGCTTTTTGTATGAGATGGTCCTCATCTCTACGTTGTTCATGCCCCAGTCGCCTTAACCTATCTTTTCCCATTTTTTTTTTCAATAAGAGCCACACCCAATCTTTCTTTTCTACAGTCATTCCCAACTTCAAATAATTTGTCTAATGTTGTAAATGCTTAAAACGACAAGATTAATATTTTGTGTATAGCGAGTTATGATCTAGCAAAATAAGGTGAAACTAACTCCGCAGAAATTAACTGCGTGACTTCTTAAAGGTTACATCAACAATGACGTATGTATCAGAGAAAAGATCTGACACAGTTACAACATAAGGGCTACTGGAAAGGCGAATATGAGAGTACTGAGAAGTACTACAATGTAGCGATCATCGCACTATCAGTCTCATGACCCATGTACTGAAAGGTTTATTAAGAATACTGTATTAGAGAATTTACAACAAAGTTAAGTACAACTAAGCGAAACGCAGATTGGTTTCAGAAAGAACCTTGGAACCAGATAAGCATTATTCAATTTGCATGTCATGATTCAAAGATGTAGAGATATAGAACAACCAGTATATATGTGTTTTATCGACTTCGAAAATGTCTTTGACCGGGTTATCCACGACAAACTGATAGGTCTTTTGAAACAGGTGGGAATTGATGACCAAGGCCCAACTATAATCAAAAATTTGTATTGGCATCAATGTACAAACATACCAATTGGTCAGAGTACGACGAAAGCAGTAGAAATACAACCTGGAGTGAGGCATAGGTGTATTTTATCGCCCCTACTTTTAATACCTACTCCGAATTTATTTTCAAAGAAGCCCTAAATGAAGTTGCAGGCATTAAAGTCGACGGGATTAATGTTAACAATTTCAGATACGCAGACGATACGGTACTGATTGCATCCAATGGAAAAGAGTGGCGACGACTTATAAACAGGGTGACTCTGTTAACACGTTGCCTGCTGTAGAGGATTTTGTAATACTTTCCATTCACACCATAGTGACCGAGCCGGCATCACAGTTACATTAAAATTCTCGGTGAATAGACGTCGCTGGCGTCAGGGCAATTTTTCTCGGTCACATAGACCGAGACGGCAGGCAATGTGTTAATATAGGGTGTTGAGTATGGGCTAAAGTTTAATAGTTCTATGGTTGTCAGCAAAACAGAGTTACAACCAATGAACATCAGAATAGAGCTAAAAAGTATTCGTAATATCACTTATTTGGGCGCCATGGTTAACTATAACTGGGATATAAGCAAATAAATCAGAATACGCATTGAAAAGGTCAGAGCCGCCTTCTATAAACTAAAGAAAATTCTCATTAATAGAGATGTTACATTAAACCTTAAAATCAGATTAATACCCTGCTACATGTTCTCCACATTGCTGTATGGCATGGAGAGCTAGACTCTTACAGCAACACTAATGAAAAGAACTCGAGGCTTTTGAGATGTGGATTTACCGACGAATATTGCGGATAAGTTAGGTTTATCTAATAAAAATAAAGTAGATTTATACCAAATGAAACAGGGCACAGAAATAACAAAAAGAATGAAAATTCGAAAGTTACAATATTTCGGCCATGTGATGAGACATCCAGAGAGGTATGGCCTTGTACACCTCCTAATACAGAGCAAGATCGCCGGAAGAAGTGTTATCAACATCCGCTAATCTGTTTCGAGTTGCCGTAAACAAAGTTATTATTGCCAATTTGATCGCCAACGTTCGATAATCGGACAGATTACTAAAAAAAAAGACTACTACAGGAAATACGCCAAGAGGTGTGTAGAGACTTGGAAGCCTTTGGGATGTGGTGTACAGATGTCAACTAAAGATACAGTGGGTCAACAGAGCCAGGAAGTAGAAGGTTTTTAGACGGCTGAATCAAACAACAACAAACAACGATCAATAACGCTCATGGAACTAAAGGAGAAGAAGTTTTGAAGTCTTGATACCTGCTACATAATATAGTTGATCTTGAAGATGAATTTGACTTTATGTAGCCATTAAATCCTTTTTGAATTTGTTATTAGTGCTGCAGTGATATTTTATTTATTTTAGGTACCGTCTGCTCCGTGTGAACATTTGTATTGCAGCGCAAATAACACCGAGTACGCCTGTACATCTACGTTTTCGCCCTGGGCTGACGGTACTAGATGTGGAGATAACAAGTAAGTACATTTAAAGCATTTAAGCAAAAAAATCCACGTTTTTGATGACAATATTATTATATTATTTGTTTTGCTATTATTTTAAATTACTTTCTTCTTTGGTGGTTTTACTCACCAATATGAAACAGATTTTCGGTTCGAATAGTATGCTATAATTTTTAGCCGATCTGTTTAAGAGATTTATAATATTTGTTTTACATTAAAAACTTCTATTTATTTCTAGAGTATGTTTCAACGGAGAATGCAGGTACGAGTACGAACTTGTTCCAATCAATGGAGGTTGGGGACCATGGAAAGAGTGAGTTCGATTAACATTTTTACTCAAAATAACACTTTAAACATGTTTTTTACTGTAGATATGGGCCTTGTAGTAGAACATGCGGAGGAGGAGTGAGAGCGTCTCAGCGGAATTGTAACTCCCCTAAACCACTGAACGGTGGTCAGTACTGTATTGGAGAAAACGTCAGATATGAATCGTGCAATATACAGGATTGTGATATCAACAGTTTGGAATTTAGGTAATATAAAACGATATTTTAAATAGGGAATTACAGAACGTGATCTATCGAGTATTTTATTTATTTTATAGCTATTATTCTACATATTATCTTTATAAATCGATTTATATATCATATATAATAATACATACATAATTTTTTTATAATTATAAAATTAATTAAAATGCAATAAGGTGATTCAAGACATTCATATCGTTAAACATTTTGAGGGACAAGGAGTTCGACAAGGAGATAATTTCTGCCAGAAGCTATTCACTTTAGCCCGTTTTTAAAAAAGTAGAGTGAACGGATAAAGGAATCTTTTCACTACTTACTCGATACGGTAAAACGACGTCAGATTACGGAACGGCGACTGTCATGGTAGCGTTCGTGTGCTTTATTTCGAGCTTTATCTCTAGCCTTATTCGATTCGAGAAAAATGCCAGGCGAGGAGTTCCACTGGGGCGAATAACCCAGGTGTCCTAAAAAGAAATCAGAGAGGATTGAAGCCTCGCATAGAGAAAAAGGGCAAAAGCTGGCTTGATCCTGATGTTCAGTATGCGTATGGACTGCGAAAGTGCAGTCTCTCGATCCTTTCGGTTGGAAAAGCTTTCACCAAATTGTATCAAAAAAATTACTGTTTTATTGATTTTATTAAGGTTTATTGAAAAGTTTATTTATTAAAATTATTTTGAACGTGTTAATGTTTTTCAGAGCTCTTCAGTGTCAAGAATTCAACAACAAAACAGACGAAATAATCAACTCCAGTATTCCAATCTACTGGTTTCCTGATTATAATATCGGTAAGTACATCCATTTTATATTTTGTAGAAGATGACTACATTTTTGTACTTTTAGAACTACATGAAGACCAGTGCAGGCTGTTTTGTATCCCCAACAAGGTAAAACCCAGCTATAGGCTGCAAGATAAAGTACAAGATGGAACGAAATGTGGACCATCTGGATTTGGAATCTGCGTGAACGGTATTTGTAAGCCAGGTGGCTGTGATAATGTGCTGGACTCTACTGTGGACTTAGGTAAGAGTTATTAACACTAAATAATATGGACAATATAATAATTCTACTCGCCTTTCACAAAAGAAAACTGTAAATTCTGGAACCCATTTTATGTGGAGTTGACCTAAATTAATCAAAAAATGCTTTCTAAAAAACAGTCAATATTTTTTTAGATGATTGTGGCATATGTGGGGGAGATAATAGTCGATGCCAAGAAATCAGTGGAGCTTACAACAAACCAGCAGAAACAATTGGCTATAATCGAGTGGTAAGGATACCAAAGGGAAGTTCTAATGTTAACATCACTCAGGACTCTTACCCCTACGTAGATGACAACTATTTAGGTCAGTATTAACGATAGAATATTATAACAACAGAGAAAATAACTTCTATGTTAATGTTGTGAAAAAGTTGATTTATTATTGCAATTATAACTCAATTTCTAGTGTTACTGGATGGAGAAACCGGAGAATCCCTTCTAAACGGCAACTTCATGGCTAACAGAGACAGCGTGGACATCATATTTGCCAACATTAAGCTCAAATACAGCGGCTCAAACACTTCTGTAGAATGGATCAACAGCGAGACCAACAAAAAGCTGCCGAAGGATCTGGTGGTCAAAGTTTTGTCCATGCAAAGTTTGTCGCCTCCCAATATTCATTATAGATATGTTATCGACGTGAAGGAAGCACCCAGGTAATATTGTTGTTACATCTATATTTCGAATTTCAACATTCTCATAATTATTGTAATGTCCATCAGTTGTAGAACAATTGGTTTATAGATCCAAAATCCCAGCAAACATTTTTACGTAAAATATTTTTGAAAGGACTTTTGATGATAGCAGCAATTCAGTTCAAATCTTAAAACATTGGAAAAATGGTTTAAAAATGTTTATATGATCGTTTAAAATCGATAGTTAAAGTTTGTTCAATAATATACAATAAGAAAAATTAAAGTGTGAAGTATGTGCATTATTAAGAGCAAAAGCACTATAATTACGAAACATTGTAAAGAGAATACGAAGAGAAAATTGTTAAAAGCTATTTACACAATCAACATTGTGTAATGCACAATTAAACAGCAATATTATATGAAAACGCTTGAGAATAAATTAAAAATTGAGCTAAATGCTCTTGGCAAAGAGGTTACTTTTAACGATATACTTGTTTCTAATGTTAACCAAACTGCCTAATAAGCATCAAACTGTTTAATTTTTACAATATATTGCACAATTGATGTAAAGGTGACTAGTACCAAGTAATTTTTTCAATAATGTTTGTCGTTTGATGAAAAAATCATGATGTTATCATTTAAAATACATTTAATATTCAGTATAATCCAACTGTATCTCAATATATTTATTTCTACAGATCCGAAATCGAAAACCAGAAAGATTGTCAAAATATGCTTCTATGGGTACTATTATTTCCTAGTTCGATGAAAGTCGTTTCACTAGCATAAATTTTTTAAAATCTGAGAGCAGCCTGACGTTACTGGGAACTAAATCTGTGACATAGGGAGATTTTACAAGAATCAGTACTTTAATTCAGTGATATTCACTCTAGTCTTTTGATCTATGTGAGAGGATACTTTGTCTGGTTGAAAAATGATTTTTGTTACGTAAAGACAGTGTTTTCTCACAATATTTTACGTCAAAATGATGTAAAAGTTTACAATGATAAGTAACTTCGTTTTAGGGTAATAGTATAAGCAAAATTCAGTATGCATCCCAAAAAACTTATTTTGGACCCTAACTTTTTTTGGAGCCGAAGTACCGTGGTCATGCCACTCCTAAGCTTCTTATTTCGATTTAAAATCAAGTTGGTACTTGGTAGTGTCATCTATAAGGATATAATGATGCTAAAAACCCTTTTTATCCTCTTTAACATGCTCAAAAGATGTTGCTGACAAAGTCATATTCGAATATGTTTTTGTCCCATTGTGAACACAGCTCCTTGAGCCCAAAATTTCAGCCAAAACATTGCTTACACTGCCTACCTATACACCTTGATGCACTTTTTGGACCTGGTAGATTATCTTCAAGATGTATATAACATTCCTACGGTTTGGATCTAAATTGAGCATTCCATTGTCCTACTCTATATATAGTTTTAATTTAAGGTGAAGGGTATATATTTTTATTAGTTATTAATGAAATTGTATTGCTGATACATCTTTCAGAAATATAAAACGGAATGTGGCACGCCGGGAATGGCCGTGGAGGGAAACATAGCTTTCTTATCTTTTACGCACTTAGGGGTGGTTTTTAATTTAATTCAATTCGACCCGATTCGATGGAATTAGATTTGATTCGATTCTATTCGATTCGATTATTTTAATTTGACTTTTACTTTATTTTATTTAATTTTTTATGTTCATCATCATCAGTAGCTCGACAACCCTTTCTGAGTCCTGGCTTGTTCTAGGATTTTCCGCCATTCTGTTCTGTTCTTTGCTTTGTTTTTCCAGTTGGTAATCGTAAGTGTTTTCAGATCTTGTTCCACTTGTTCCATGTATCTAAGTTTGAGTCTTCCCTTTGACCTTCTCCCTACTGGTGTTTACATCATTATATGTTTTGGCGTTTCAGTCTCCAACATCCGATCAACATGGCCTATCCAGCGCAGACGTCCGATCTTTATGGATGTTACGATCTCGGGTTCATTGTATGCTGTGTATAGTTCAAAGTTATATCTTCTGCGCCATATGTCCTTTTCCTTTACCCTCTTATATATGTGTCTAAAGATTTTTCGTTCAAATGTACCTAATAGGTTCTCATCGCTTTTCGACAGTGTCCACGTCTCTGATCCATATACAAGGACCGGTTTTATCAGGGTCTTGTGTATTTTGCATTTGGTTTTTCTTGTGATGTTAGATCTTAGATGTTTAATTAGTCCATTATATGTTTTATTAGCGATATGTATTCTTCTCTTAACTTCTTCACTGATATTGTTATCTGCGGTAACTAGTGAACCTAGATATGTAAAACTTTTCACGCTTTCGATGTTATAGTCTCGTATTGTCAGATTCTGTAGGTTTCTTTGACCTGTCAATTTACTGGCCTTCATGTATTTGGTTTTTATTTCGTTAATGTTTAGGCCACTGTTTTGTGCCGCTCTTTCTATCGCATTAAATGCTTCTATCATCTCTCTTTCGCTTCTAGCTATGATATCAACGTCATCTGCAAATACCAATATTTGTACACTTTTTGTTATTATTGTTCCTCTGGTGTTGACTTTTGACTCCCTAATTATTTTCTCTAATGTGATGTTGAATAAAATACAGGATAAGGCATCTCCCTGTCGTAGGCCCTTTCTCACATGGATTGTATCTGTTAGTTCGTTTTGAATTCGAATTGTGCTTTGTACTTTAAGTGTTTCTTTTACTATGTCAATGAGTTGAGTTGGTATATTAAACTCTTTCAGTGCATGGATCAGAAACTCTCGATGGATGCTATCATAGGCACTCTCAAAGTCAATGAAAAGATGATATGTGTCTATATGAAATTCACTAGTCTCTTCCAAGATTTGCCTCAAGACGAAGATCTGATCTATTGTGGACTTCTGCCTGCGGAAACCACATTGATATCCCCCAACTATTTGTTCCGCATATGGTCTCAATCCGTTATACACAATATGTGACAGTATTTTATATCCAGGAGTCTCCACCTTCCTTTATTAATTCTGCGCTAATGTTGTCTAATCCAGCTGACTTGTTGTTTTTCAGTCTGGTAACTGCTTCTTGCATTTCAGCTACTGAAGGGTATTTCTCTGGTAGTTATTTCTCTGGTATCTGTTTGTTTTTTTTTATGTTATTATGTTTTATTTTATTTTGTTCTTCGCACCTCAGCGATCGATCGCATCTATTGCATCGATCAATTCATTTTGTCCGTAGCCCGCGATAAGAAAGATATGCTTCCAAAAAGTATATCACTGCACAAAAGAACGAAACTAAAACTACGATCTTAGTAGCGTCATCTCTTATCAAACAACAAAACTTATTAAAAAACTAATTCTTACAAAAATTGTGTAGTATATTGATAATAATATTAATCATATTAACAGTTTTATGTGCATCAAATATGATTTATTCAAACATTGTGTTGTTGGGGTCAGAATAAGATAGAGTTTTAATGAGGCAGTGAGATCAGTCCAATTATCGCCAGAGACCCAATATAATTAGTATATACTATAGATGTATTTATAAGCGTAATGAAAAAATTGCATATAGCAACCAAAAGAAGGCAATAATAGATAAAAGGAAAGACGACAGAAAAGACGAATTATGACACAATACCGAACAATACAATGCTTCCTAGTCTTTCATATTTCTATATATTAGTTATGTTTTAAAATTTTTTTAAGATCTCCATCTGAAACATTATTCTACTGTGAAAATAACTAGATAACGGTTCAATTGTATAAAACTGTGTTACCATGAGATAAAATAAGACTGATGTTAACCCAGAAGATGCTAAAGACACGTTTGATATTCACTGGAACCATCGAGTTAGAATCTATGGAGAAGCTATGAGCATATTAACGTATGTATTAAAAACGGCATAGGTAGGAGTGGCTAACTATAATACCAATATGGCGGTGACATCAGGGCCAGACTCAATAATACTATGACTACTATACAAATATGACTAGTTATTCAGAAGATTTAATTCTAATCTAAAAAAGTGCAATACATTTTTAATAAACTATGATTTATTTATCCCGCGGTAAACACTAAAAACACGATATATTATATATAAAGATAAATTAATACAGTCAAATAGTATTAATTTATTCTCTGAAGTACGGGCCATTACTTTGTTTACATATTTGTATACTAACCTGTGAAACGATATTCCTGAAGATTTTTTATTAACATTACTTCTGCTACTGCAACTACGTTGAGAACAAGAAACCATTATTATGCACTATCACAATATATTACAGTTTCTATAAAAGTATTATAAAACTGAAAATATTCGAAAAACAACAAATATAACCAAACATATACGATCTGTCAAAAGTTTCAAAACAATAATACCAATATGGCCGAAGTTTAGTCACGTGATGCCCTCTCCATAGATTCTAACTCGATGACTGGAACGTTGGAGAAGAACAGTAAGTCGAAATTCAAACAAGTTAAACGTCAAATAAGAAGAAAACTCTAACCTAACTGTATGAAGTTATCATAACCTCAAAAATATTCGTTCTCCAGTGCCGTAGAAAGAGGATATCGTAACAATAATTAATTTAATTCTTTTTTAAGTAGCTTTGTCAGCTTGTGTGCTCGTAAAAGTGCTTTATATATCTATCTACATCTTGTGCGTTGAAGTGTTATGTCTCAGTTCTTTTCATCAGCTACAATACATAAGTATATATACGATTTGCGGCCGTAATTATTGGGATATGTTTGCTGGGTAAACTGTTTTCAAAATTTTAATATTAACAAAATTTTTTGATGTTTTTCGTTGTCAGGTATCCAAGATATCATTACGGTAGCAACAGGGGATTTGTAAGAAGGTATTTTTCAATGAATGTATTACGCTTTTTAATGTATTAATTTCGTTTTTCTGGTGTATGGTTCTCCGTTACTTTTATTTTTTGGTAAATGTGGTATTTTGTATATGTTTTTTTTTTGACTCTTGTTTAAAAATATCCGTCTTGAGTATATTTCAAGTATTAGACGTACTAAATATTAGCT